AAAATTTTTAAAAAAATTCTCTGGCAAGAATTCAATTATCTTTATACAGAAGAAAATTTTTTGCAAAATTTCAATTATTTTAAAACATTTTTCTCAATTTAATAATTTGTATATCTATCTATTATTTTAATAAAATTTTTTAAATTATTATTATTAAAAAAATGTAATACGTTTCTTGGCAAGAATTCAATTATCATTAAAAATAGCAAAAATATTCCCAGAAATTCGATTATTTTCAAAAATAACCAAATTTTTAACAGAAATTCAATTATTTGTTAAAATTTTCATTAAATTCTTCGTAGTAATTCAATTATTATTTTAAAAATTATTTGCAGGAATTTAATTATTTTTATAAATAATGAAATCATTCGGAGGAAGTTAATTATTTTCATAAATAACAATATTCATCATAAGAATTCAATTATTTTCAAATGTAATAAAATTCAATTATTTTTAAAAATTTTAAATAAAATTCATTGCAAAATTTCAATTACTTTCAAAAATTTTTCTTAATTCAACGATTTTCAATATTTATTTTCAATAATTCAATAATTTTAATAAAATTTCCCAAAAGAATTAAATTATTTTCTAAAATAATGAAAATTTCACAGGAATTCAATTATTAAAAAATGAATTTATTTAAAGAAGAATTGTTTCTACAAAAGTCAAACCTGACCTCATTTGTTTTTTTTCGACTTTTTAAATGATGATAAAGGAAGTGGTGGTGAATCGGTTCGGTATATATTTATACATATAACACCTGGTCATTTTTATATGGTGGAAACAGCTGTTGTAAGGTTCGTTAGATCACACCTTTCGTTTCGAGGATTTTTTTGTTTTTTTCTTCTTTTTCCTTTCTTTTTTTTTTTAATACCTTCGGCTTTGTTAAATCACAAAAAAATCGAGGGAAGGAAACCTGTAAAATCAGAATTAAATTCCTTTTTATGAATATATACTCGCACTTGAAAGTTGAAAATTAATTGAATTGCTGTTTTTTTAATTAAATTTTCCATAAAGTTACATTTTCTTCTTTATTTTAATTTCTACTTAAAAAAATAGAATAGTTTTTTAATTAAATTTATTAATTTTAATTAGTTCAGTTTAATTAATTAGATTGAAAAAAATAAGCGTCTACCTTGAAAAAAAAAATAATTGGCGCCTTTTGATTAATACGGTCCTGTGCAAATCTAAATTTTTTATTTTACAATTTTTAAATAAATTATTAATTAATTTTATTAAAAATTTATTTAATTTTATTAAATTAATATTTTATTTATAATAAATTGTTCGTTATTAAATAAATTTATTTAGAAAAAATTAAATTTCAGCGAAAAAAATATTTTTTGCGCTTTTCGGTTGATACGGTCCTGTACAATTCCAGTACAGTTTCATTAAAAAGTTGTATTTTTTAAATTACCAATTAATTACTGAAATATTATTTTTAATTATTTTTAATTTTAAAAAGAATTATAATATTAATTTTAATTGCAAATTTTTAATATTATTAATTTTTAATATATTAAAAAAAATATGTCTTCCTAAAAATATTTTTTGGCCCTTTTTTTTGATACGCAGTATTTTAGTCAAAGGATTTTTTTTATGTAAAAAAAACATAAAGGGACGAATTTCAAAAAGTAGAAAAAGAAAAATGAAAATAAGTTTAATATAAAAACAAAATGTGAAATATAATAAATAAAAATAAAATATAAATGTAATATAAAAAAGCAAATAAAACAAAAAATGAATGAATGTAAAAATAAAACAAAAAAAATGTCGAATAGACAAATACAAAAAGAGAATGATGTGCGCCATAAAAATATAAAAGGAACGAGAAAGATAAATAAAAAAAATATATATGTGAGCGCGTATATTTAAACAAAATTGCCGAGAGAGAAAGAGAGAAAGATATATACTAAAATAAAAAAATAAAACTTTAGACTCGATAGTAAATATAAAAATTTATTTTTAAATTTAATTAATGTAATAAATGTTAAATTTTTTTATTTATAAAAGAATTCTTTTGAAAACAAAATATGTGAATAATTAGGAAACGTAAATTGACAAAAAAAATATGCACACGTGTATAAGAAAACTATTTTTACCCGGTTTGTTTGAAAAAATTTGTTTTTGCTCAGTATTTCCATATATTGTTGGAAAGATAATAATGTTTACAAAACTGGTAAAGTGACGGTGCATCAACAACGTATGTATTCACTGTGAAACACAAACAATCGGTAATTAAAGAAAAACAATAGGAAATGCAATACAAATCAGCGTGGAATTTATTTCTATATTATATTTTAGAAGTCGTGACGGAAATTTTACGGGGAAATTTATTTTCAAGTAGGTTTATGAGTCTCCCCCCTCTGCACCCCGCTTTTGAACTAAAATATTTTAATTATAGAATTTAAAAATAATTTTTCAATTTTTTTTCAAATAACATTTTTAATTTCTACCGATATTTACTTTTTTTTGCAATTTACAATTACAATTGAAACTTTAAATTTACATTGTTCTTTGTTATGAAAATTTCAAGTTTCAATCGAAATTTTTAATTTACATTTCTCTTTAACTAAAATTTAATAAATTTTAATTAATATTTTTAATTTACATTCCATTTTTATTAAAATTTTTAATGAATTTTTTATTTACACTGTTTTTTGTTATTAAAAGTTTTAAAAAAACTTTAATTTTTAATTGAAAATATGAATTTACATTAAATTTCTTACTGAAATTATTAATTTGAAATTTAACTTTAAATTTACATTGTTTTTGTTACTAAAATTTTAATTGAAACTTTAAATTTTGAATTTTCATGACAAAAATAAGGTAAATTATAAGTTTCAATTGAAATTTAAAATTTTCATTACTGTTGGTTTTAAAATTTATAATTTCAGTTGTAATTATAAATTTTCGTTGTTTTTGTTATGAATATTTAAAATTTTAATTGAATCTTTATATTTATATTAAATTTGTTATAAAAATTGTAAATTTATAATTGAAACTTTCAGTTTACATTGATTTTTTATTTAATTTCAATTTAAAAAATTATAACATTTTATTTTTTTAAATTTCAATTTCAAGTTTTAGTTTTACTAAATTTTCGTATTTTTGTGAATTGTAATTATTAAATTGTGTTAAATTTTTTATTATAAAATTTCTTAAAATCGTAAAAATAAGTTTTAATTTTTTAAATTAATTAAATAAATTCTTGTCAAAATTTCAATTATTTTTATAAATTTTCCTCAATTTAATGATTTTTAATATATCAACTATTTTAATTAAAATTTCCAATAGAATTCAATTATTTTCATAAATTTCCCACAATTCAATGATTTTTAATATCAAATATTTTAAATTAAAATTTCCAATAGAATTCAATTATTTTCATAAATATTAAAACTCATTGCAGAATTTCAATTATTTTTAATGCAATTTTAATCGAATTTTTCAAAAAAATGTAATTATTTAAAAAAAAAAAATTAAAATTCGTCGAAAGAATTCATTTATTTAAACATTTGTTGATAAAAATCTTTATGAGAATTCAATTTTAAGAAACTGTCAAACAATTGACTTTTTTTGAAAAATTTATGAGAGTATTTAAATCCCTGAAAAGAATTTTAAAATTTATGAAAATAATTGAATTGCTGCGATGAATTTTATGAAAATTTTAACAAATAATTGAATTCCTGCTGAGAATATTATAATTTTTTAAAGAACTTGAATTTTTGGGAAGAATTTTATGAAATTTTTGAAAATAATTGAATTCCTGTTAAAGATTTTGTTATTTTTGAAAATAATTGAATTGCTGTTAAAAATTTTGTTATTTTTGAAAATAATTGTATTTTAGAGAATATTTTTGTTATTTATAATGATAAATGAATTCTTGACAAGAATTTTATTACATTTTTCAATAATTATTAAATATCTGCGAAGAAAATTAAAAAATTTTTTGAAAATAATTGAATTTCTGCTAACGAATTTTATGAAAATTTTAACAAATAATTGAAATCCTGTGAAATTTTTATTTGTTTGGAAAATAATTGAATGTTCGTGCAGAATATTATGAACATTTTTATTTAATAATTGAATTCTTTTGGGAAATTTTATTAAAACAGTAGAATATTGAAAATCATTGATTTAAGAAAAATTTTTGAAAATAATTGAATTCTTGTGATGAATAATATTTATTCATAAAAATAATTGAATTCTTGCAACGAATTTTATTACCTTTTTTTTAAATAATTGAATTCTTTTGAGTAAAGTTAAAATTTAGAAAATATTTTATTTAAATTATAGCGAAGAAATTTTATTATTTGTGAAATGTAATTGAAATCTTGCAAAAAATTTTTGAAAATAATTACATTTTTCGAGGAATTTATTTAAAATTATATTTAAAATAATTGAAATCCTATGAAAAATTTTATTATTTATGAAAATAATTAAATTCTTAAAATCAATTTTATTACATTTTTTAAAATAATTGAATTCATGTGAAAAATGAATTTTTTATATACTTCTTGTAACAATTTTTTATAAGTTGTTTAATTTCAAAAATTATATGATAAATAGTAAAAATAAATAAATCTATAAATGAATATAAAAACTATAATTATATAATATGTGTCACGCTCTGAGGAAAGGTACCTAAGAAGCAAAAAATTTGAGGTTATGTTTTTAATTTTTTGAGTAAAAATACAGAAAGAGAATCAATTATTAATTAAAAATTGTTGGTCTTCAAGTCTTCGTTATATTCAAAATATTTAATGAAAATTGGTTTCAAATTCAAATAATTAAAAATAAATTTTTAATCAAGATAAATCTAACACGAACCCAACCTATAATTCGTTTGCTTCTTAGGTACCTTTCTTGGGGTCGCGTCACATATATAAAAAAAATGATAAACATAAATTTTTAATAGAAATATAATAAAATTTGCAAAAAGTTAATTGAATAGATAGAAAAAAATTTCATGAGTGTCGAATTTTTTCGTTTTACAGGTGAATGCAGAAAATGAGTGAAATGCCGACAGACGGGGACATTAAAAATCAAGGGAATTCCATGGTTCCTGTGAGTTAGCGTTGAACAAGAAAGAGACGAAGTTTGCAGGTGGAAGAGAAGAAGAAGATTGTGGCTGTGAAAGAGCAAACGAAAAAAGAAAAAAAAAAAGATTGAAAAGGAGGAAAAATAAAAGGATCACGTATATATATGTGTGTATGTGAGTGTATATTTCCTCCATCGTCATCATTATCATCAACATCAGCAACAACAGAAGTGTTGATGCCGTTATAAGGGAGAAATTTCTTCTTCCTTCCTGCTTCATTGGCCCTTTGAAATAAAATAAAAGTCTGTTCGTGTTATGTGTATATGTGTCTCGTCTCGAAATCGTGAGAAATGTCTTTGCACGCGAGAGCCGTCCATCGCTCTCGAGAGTGAGAAGCGTCATTTTTCAAGGCAATGACGACGAAGAATTTGACGTCATCATCACTTAATCCAAAACCACCTCATTGTCATTATTGTTATTATTATCATCACCATCATCATCATCATCATCGTCAAGTGAAACAACATGTGGAAAAGACTGATTGCTGGCCGGGAAATATTATCATCAATAATTGCGTCCAAGCTCGTTGTTGTTGTTGTCGTCGTCGTCAGCGTCGTCAACTAAATTCTCGAGCTGGACTGCATGATGACGGCGGCGAGACGTCGCGCCAAATTACCACGAAAATCAACGCCAACAACCACGGAACAACAGAAGGAAGAAGACGATGCTTCTTTAAGGTGAGTTTCCACTTTTTTTTTTTTTTATTTTCTATACATTTTTATTTTTTAATGAGCGATAATTTTTCTAATACACTTGAAACCTCGACTAACGAGGTTCGAATCAAAAGAAAAAAAAAACCTTTTTTTGATGAGCGAAAATTTTACGATATATCGTAAATAATTTGTTATTTTGAAAATTGAAATAGAAATAAGAATCACAATTTGAAAATTTTCAAAATATAAATATTGTCAAATTCACAGGCCAAAGAAATCAGGGAAAGTAGAATTGATCAGAGAAAAGTCAGGAATTTTTATTAAAAGAACTGGAAAAAAATTAAATGTTCAGAATTTAGAAGAAAAATCTGAATTTTTTCATTTTAAATAAATAACTTAATTCTATTGACGAATTGCCATAAAGTTATTCCTTATAAATCATTTAATGAAATATATTTTTTTTTAATTTGTAATTTCAATTCTGTTGAAATGAGTTTCAGGTTTAAAAATTTAAACTTCGAAAGAATTCGAAAGAATGTTTCTTAAAATTGAAATTTTATAAAAAAAATTTTATTAACAAATTTTTTAAAATACCATTGAATTCTTTCGACGAATTTTAATAACATTTTTCGAGGAATTCGATTAATATGGAATTAAAAAAAATTGAAATTCTGCAATGAGTTTTATTATTTATGAAAATAATTGAATTATTGCAAAGAATTTTATAAAAAAAAGTTTCGAACAATTGTTTTTTTCGAAAAAATTCATGCAATTATTCTATTTTTAATAATTGAATTCGAGTGAAATTTTCATTATTTTGGAAAATAATTAAATATTCGTGTAGAACATGTTCAAAATTGTTTTAAAATTATTAAATTCTTTTGGAAAATTTAATTAGAATAATAGATATATAAATTATTGAATTGCGAAAAATATTTGAAAATAATTGAAATTTTGCAATTAATTTTCTTATTTATAAAGATAATTCAATTCTTGACAAGAATTTTATGAAAATTTTAACAAATAATTGAATTTCTGCGAAAAATGTTGTTATTTTTTGAAAGAATTGAATTTCTGCTAAAAATTTTGTTATTTTTGAATATAATTGAATTTTTGGGAATAGTTTTGTCATTTCTAATGATAATTGAATTCTGGTCAAGAGTTGTATTACATTTTTCGAAAAAAAATTGAATATTTTCGAGGAAAATAATGAAATTTTTTTAAAATAATTGAATTTCTGCTAAAAATGTTATTTTTTAAAAGATTTGAATTTTTGGGAAGAATTTTATGAAGATTTTAACAAATAATTGAATTTCTGCTAAAAATGTTATTTTTTTTTAGAAGAATTGAATTTTTGGGAAGAATTTTATGAAATTTTTGAAAATAATTAAATTTTTGCTAAAAATTTTGTTATTTTTGAAAATAATTGATTTTTTGGGAATAGTTTTGTCATTTTTAATGATAATTGAATTCTTGTCAAGAATTGTCATTTTTCAAAAAAAAATTGAATATATCTGCGAGGAAAATAATGAATATTTTTAAAAATAATTGAATTTCTGCTAAAAATGTTATTTTTTAAAAGAATTGAATTTTTGGAAAGAATTTTATGAAAATTTTAACAAATAATTGAATTTTTGCTAAAAATGTTATTTTTTAAAAGAATTGAATTTTTGTGAAGAGTTTTATGAAATTTTTGAAAATAAAAAAAAAAAAAAAAAAAAAAAAAAAAAAAAAATTAAAAATTAAAAAAAAAAAAAAAAAAAAAATTTTTTAATTAAAATTAAAAATTTTGTTATTTTTGAAAATAATTGAATTTTTGGGAATTGTTTTGTCTTTTCTAATGATAATTGAATTCTTGACAAGAATTGTATTACATTTTTCAATAATAATTGAATATCTGCGAGGAATGTAACGAAATTTTTTAAAAATAATTGAATTTCTGCGAAGAATTTTTTGAAATGTTTAAAAATAATTGAATTCCAGTTAAAAATTTAAATTAAAAATTTTTTTCTATTTTTGAAGTTAATTGAATTTCTGCAAAGAATTGTAATATTTATAATGATAATTGAATTCTTGTCAAGAACTTTATTAAAAGTTTTGAAAATAATGGAATTTTTTCGAAGAATTTTATGATTATTTTTGGAAATAATTTAATTCTTTAGAGAACTTTTATTAAAATTTTTGAAAATAATTGAATTCTTATATGGAAATTTTATTAAAATTTTTGACAATAATTAAATTCTTGTGATGAATATTGTTATTTATAAAAATAATTGACTTCCTTTTTTTTTTTTTTTGAAAATAATTGAAATTTGGCCATAAATTCCATTAAAATGTTTAAAAATAATTAGATTTCATTACTTTTGAAAATAATTGAATGCTTGTGATGAATACTATTAATTATGAATATAATTGAATTTTGCAAAAAATTTTATTAAAATTCCCGAAAATAATTGAATTTTATTATTCATTTAGACAGATAATTGAAATGTAGACAATCTTTTTTTAGATTTTTTTAAAAATAATTGAATTTCTATGAATAATTTTATTAATTTGAAAAATAATTGAATTCTTCTGATGAATATTGTTATTTATGAAAACAATTGAATTTTACAATGAATTTTATTAAAATTCCTGAAAACAATTGAAATTTTGATATTCATTTATAAAGATAATTGAAATGTTGACAATTTTTTTTAGATTTTTCGAAAATAATTGAATTTCTTCTAAGAATTTTATTAGTTTTCAAAATAATTGAATTTTTGAGATGAATATTGTTATTCATGAAAATAATTGAATTTTACAATAGTGAAACGAATATTTTCAACCCTAAAAAAATAGTTAAATGAAAATAAAAATTAAAAATTGAAAAATACTATTTAACGCTAAGCGTCGACGCTATTTTCTGTTTATAATTACCCCTAAAAAAACATCAAACATAATAAATGAATTACTCCAGTGGAATAAGATGTGTAGAAATAGGTAGTACGAGGTGATATCTTGTTAAAAGAAGCCGGACAATCTTAAAAATCCGACGCTAATTAAAAGAACTGTAGTGCGTGATTGTCCTCATTTCTTTATATATAAAAAAATTCTTTTTCCTTTTTTCTCTTCCTTTTTTTGTTTTTATTTAAAGCACACTTAAATCATTATAAGGTATTTATTACATATTAAACTCTCCTTAGAATCATTAGTATATTATAAAGTGGAATAAATTTTTAAAGCAAAAGCAAACACAGAGCAGAATAAAAGAGCACTTTCAAAAGCAAGCCATTTTTTTTTATTATCAAGAGTCAGAAAAAAATTGATATCTAATTAGTAATTCCGAACGTCTAACTAAATGGCATTATGAAAGCTACTCTCAAAATTTCATTTTCTGTATTATATTCGCAGTGAATTTCTTTTTTTTTCCTCTCTTTCTTCTCTTATAATTTTTTTCCACTTATAAAATTCTATTCCCACCACACAAAGAACTTCATTATCAAAACTAGTGATAAAAAATTTTCTCATTTCATCATTTTATTATTTTTTTTCTAGAATTTTTAACTAAAATTCTTCTTTAAATAAATTATTTTTAATAATTATTGAAAAAGTTCTTCTTTGAGAATTTTTAAATCCATTTTGTTTACAATTCAATTTGTTAGGAAATTATTTATAGCAAGAAATAAAAATTACGAAAGTTAGCGTCGACGCTTAATGTTAAAAAAAATTTTCGGTTTTTTAGTGTTGAAAAAGTCACTAAATTCACTACTTTTAACCTGATGGTCTAAAAAATTTGACAGGAGTCAGGAGATAACGAAAAAAAAACTTTTCTAAAGTTAGCGACTTAGCGTCGATGGTTAGCGTCAAAAACTATTTTTCTGGTTGTTTTAGTGTTGAAAATTCCACTAATTTTCTTAATCTATAGGGTTTTAAAAATTAGATTATTTATTGCAAAAAAGTAAAAATTACGAAAGTTAGCGTCAACACTATTTAAAGAGAACTTAGCGTCCAGTTAGCGACGAAAATTATTTTCGGAATTTTTTGTTAATAAAAATGAAAAATTGACTTTATTCATTTTTGATTCTGTATAAAAGAAAAATATATTTTAACGCTCAGTCGACGCTAAATTTAGTGATTTTATATACATGGGCAAATTTTGCAATCGGCGATGAAAATGTTCGTAATCGACAAAGTTTTAAAGTTTTTTTTTTATAGTAGATACCTGCTAGACAGGGATAGTGTGAGAGGGGGGGGGGGAGGTAATATTCTGTACAGTCTGTAAAAAATTTTATTCGGTCTACAGTGAAAAAAAATTATGTTAGCCATAATAGAAGCCGATTTATAGCATCATCATTGAATTGAGAGTTCTTCCCTTTCCTCCTCCTCCTCCTCCTTTTTTTCATCAATCAGAAAATTATGGACCAACCATAAAGTTTCAAGGGTTGAGTATCATCGTCCCTCACTCTCTGAATTCTCTCTTCGCATATACATGTATGAAAAGCATCATGTGCCTCTCCCTAAAATTCAGGGTCGAGAGACCAAACCCTGGACTGCAAAGATCAGTCTTGCGTATGGTCCTGTATTGATCCAAAAGTTTGTCCCGCCTTGGATTTGAAATTTGGCCAGGTTAGGGATGGGGGGGAGAGAAAATACTGCTTTATCATCCCCCCCCCTTCACCATCTTTTTCTCTTGGACGAGATAGAAAATTTTCTCTTTCTCTCTCTCTCGCTTTTAGAAACGATCCTCCTAAATTTCTATAAAGCGAGGGTAACTGGTAAATACTCTGAATTTTATAGAAAAAGGAAACAGAAATATTCAAAATTTTGCTTAAAAAAGTAATTTTTTCCCATTTTAAAAAATAAAAATTTTAATATTTTTTGAAATATAGTTGAATAAATTTTAAGTCCCTGAATATAGGGATTTTTTATGTGGTTTTAAATTAAAGCTTGAAATCTACACTTTAAGACCCTGAAGGAGAGAGAGTGGCAAAAACACGAATTTTTGATCCTTACCACCACTTTTCTCAAAATCCTGATTTGCT